CACACACACACACACATCTCTCTCTCCCACACACACACACACACACACACACACACACACACATCTCTCTCTCCCACACAGACACACACAGACACACACACACAGACACGCACACACGCACACACGACCACTTTTCTCAGGGGTATCCATATCCATCGTCAAACGCATCCTGGGCAGGCTGTTGGGGTTCAACCTCCTGTCAGTGACGAGTTGGTGAAAGTCCGACGTTCGGCACAGTCATGCTTCTTTTGAGTGTATAGCAAAATTCAATATGACAACACACACACACACACACACACACACACACACACACGCACACGCACACACACACACACACACACACACACACACACACAGAGTGTGCCTTTCCCCTCTAATCCCATGTTCATATGTCACCCTCTCGGAGACCTACGCACAAGTACACAAGGATTAAAGTCTCAAGCAAGGACGTTGCTCGACTCTCAAAGTCTGCAAGAAGCACTACCAACTAGAGTAAAGAGCCTCATTACTCTTGAATTGACAGCTTCGTGGATGGAAGAACCTACCACCAAGCATCGGCCCCTTCTTTCCTCAGATCTAAAGGATGAAAACTCTCATTCGGATCCCATTCAGTAACACCCATTGTCAAGAGACCTTATTCCCAGCTGAGCCCAATTGCAATTGCGTCTCTCTCCCATGATGTTGATAATTTGTACGACTACAAAGGAAAGGGGCAAGGAGCATAGCCGTCGATTTCTTCAATCTAACTGAGCCTAGTACTATTCGATTGTTATCACCAGTGACCAAATTCAGAACTTCCCCTGGGCTGCAGACTATCCCCCGCAGCTGAGTTAAAAAAAAAAAAAAAAAGGCTTCCCAAGTTCCCAAAAAAAAAGAAAAAAGAAAAAAAAAGGCGAGAGAAACAAAGGACTGGACCAGGATCAATGTCACAAGCTCAAGCTCTACAATATAAAACAAGCATGAGAATGAGGCTCAAGAGTAGGATCTTGCTCAAGGGGAGATAAGTTTGGTGTGTATTTGTGTCCAACAATCCTAATTTACGTTGTGTATTTTAAGTTATTATTAACAGATCATGGTTCTGATGGATGTCCCATTACGAAAAGAATTTCGCTGGGTAGCTAAGTAGGTGGAGCACCCGTTGGAAATGTGCATTGCGGCCTGAGGTTGTGGGTTCAAAACCCTGCCGCCTCGCGCATGGACACCGGCGGGCGTTGACCTACGCACCGCTGTACACAGCAATCCCTTGGCTTGGTGTACGGTCAGAGGTAAGCATTACAGACAGCACCACCAAGGGATGTAGTCTAGGATTTTTTTTGTTGTATGCACTCTGTAGGGACTTGTCTTGATTATGCATGGGTTGCCTGAGGACGTTGGCCATACGTTGTTCTGATGATCTCCCCAGTCTGGCATATCGTAGATTGGTGTGATTTGAGATTGTAGTGCACATGGTAGAGCGCAGCTGTTCCATGACGAAGGGCATAGGTTCGAGTCTGGCTGGGGACTTTGTGGGGGGTTCTAGCACAGATTTGTCTGTCACGCACTCACACGCACATGGGTTCGAGTGCTGGCTAGGGACTTGGTGGGGGCTTCTAGTACAGATTGGTCCATCATACACAGCAACGTACATGGCCTTCGGGCACACATGCAGCCTACGGGCATATACACAGCTTACCGACATACACCCACATACACATATAGCTCACAAGTACACACATAGGCAATGACCACACACATTGCCTACGGGGCACCGTCACAATGCCATGCTAGGAAGGGTCAGGGGTGTCTAGTACATGCTTCAGTAGGAGCCGGTAGGTCAAATAGGACACACACGCGCGGCCCGGTTCCAGGCCCGCGCACGTGCTGCTCGCCACGAAGATCAGAGCCTTGTTTTTCAAAAAAGAGAAAAGAAAAAAAAAGGTCGAATACGGCACCGGTGGGTGTTGTTCCTACTGCTGTTCGGGTACTAGGACCTCTGACTATTGGGGCGTAGTGGACGAATGCTTGAGCCTGGAGTCCAGAGTTCCCGCACGACAAGGGTCGTCCGACTCTGCTTCAACCAGGGCTGGGTAGGGCTATCAGTCACGCCGGCTCATCTGGGATCCGCCTGGCCTGTCCGGACTTGTCCGTGGGCACTAGCCTTCCCAGCCTTGGTGCCTGTACCTGCTATTTGGCCCAAGTCACCCTCCAAGATGGAAGGATGATAGTCCTGAGTGATTCACACTGAGGTAGGATAGTGGGGATAAGGCGTGCGCTAGGAGTCTTATTGAGAGGTGGGTTTGGAGGTGGCCTCACAAAGGTAGTAATTGTCAGGATGACCAACGGGTGGCAGAAGATTGCAACCACCGTACGTCTGGAATCCGGCCTCTACAACAACCTGAGCTTGAAATTAAACAAAACAAAAAAAAGAAAAAGACTTTCGCTTAAGAAGTCGCACCAGGATCGGATCAGGACTGTCGGACCATGAACAGACCAGGATCAGGAACAAGGATACGACCAGGGTCAAGGGCAAGCCCTCTATAGAATATATTAAAAACCAGGATCAGAATGAGGGTCAAGAATAGGACCAGGATCGGATCAGGACTGTCGGACCACGAACAGACCAGGATCAGGAACTGTTACAAGGATACGACCAGGATCAAGGTCAAAACCTCTATAGAATAAGTTAAAAACCAGGATCAGAATGAGATGAGGATCAAGAATAAGATCAATATCTAGAGTCAGATACACTGGTGAGGGTCAGACCGATTGTGATTGGACCAGCACTGGGATCAAGGATATGGGCAGGATCAGCGGCGTCAAAACCTCAGAGTCTACAATAGAACCAGGATCAAAATCTAAACCACTACAACGGAAGCACAACCAAGGTCACGGAATCTAGAATAGAAATAGAACCATGGACTCCGAGGATCCAGGTCCGCACCTCTACAATAGAACCAGGATTGAAGTCAAGAGTCCTACAATAGAACCAGGATCAAGGTCACAGCCTCTACGACAGAACCAGTAGGATCAAGATCACCACCTCCGCAATAAGAACCAGGAATCGATCAGAATGAGGAGGATCAAGATGAGGATATTAAATCGCCATTGCATCGCCTAGTAGGACAACTTGGGAACCGAAATCGCGCAAAAATTTCAGAGGCTTGGAGCCAGCCAAAAGCTCGGCGCAGGGGGAGTCCATCTCGGCAAAAAGAGGCTCTGATGTACATGTCGATTTAAGGTCTAGGGGTTGGACGTACCGGTGAGGTGACCTGGATGAATTTTTTGTCAGATGATATGAAGGCTGCAGCATAAGCGAAGTAATCGCTGCAGGTCCTGTTGGGTGCGTCGGCATCCGGCAACCAGAACAAACGCCAGTAGTTCTGGAAAGAAGTGCCATTTCTGCTCTCCACGGGGCCTTTAAAGGGTACGGTAACCGTTACCCCCTCTAATTGGATCGAGCTGGACCCTTCAGACTGGGCCCTTAGGAAATAGACATAACCCCCAGGCTTGAAACTGCCAAAACTGGCAGGGTTGAATAAGGCCTCCACGGGAAGAGATGCGCCTGCAGCAAGTCTGTTAGCCTTCGAACAGGTTTTCAGCCGGAGTTGAAACGCGGACGCAAGGTAGCCCTCTGTCTGGCATGCACTGCCATCGAAGGCGGGAGCAAGACCGCATTTTCCTTTGTTCCATCCAGCACACGTGTCGCATTCCGATGTCGGCGCCAAAGCGTACTGGCTGTGGAAAACTCTGCCTGCCTGTTTCTCCAACCAAGCCACTTGCGAGCTCGCTCTCGTGTACACCCCAGGGTAATTGGGATCAGCACATCCTTCGCCAAAACTGGTGAAGCCGACGAGAATGGGGCAACCCTTCGATGCGGAGACGACCGTAAGAGGACCGCCGCTGTCGCCCTGACATGTGTCTACCTTGCCGTTCGGGCAGCCTGCACAGACCATCAACGACGACACGTACTCGTTCGTATCCGGCTTCTTGTACTTGCCACAACTATTGGGTAAGTAATCGACAGTGGCAGCCATCAAATACGCTGAGGCACTGGTACCAGAGGCACTCATGCTGCCCCAACCACAGATGGTTACGTCACCACCATTCGTCAAAGGACTGTCGTCATACGAAAGCTTGATGGGCATCACCGTAGGGGTGATCGCGAGGGCAGATTTCAACTTAAGCAATGCCACATCATTTGCATAAAACTCAAAGCGCGGATGACTCCAAACCTGGCTGACGCTGACCTTTTGTCCTTTCTTCAATTCCGTCGATCCAGCGTAAACGGTGACAGCCGAAGGAGGGACAACAAGCACGCTGCTGTTCAATACGCAGTGTGCTGATGGTTCCCAACATCAATCCATCAACCAATCCCGAAAAGTAACAACAAATAATTAAGCAAACAGACAAACAGGGGGATGGACAGACACACGGACACAAAAACAAACATACACATACACCGAAAACCAGCAAAACCACATACAAGAACAAACAGACAGGCAGGCAAACACATACAAGACAGAAAGAAAGAAAGACAAACCAGACACAAAGAAAGACAGACAGACGGACAGGCAAAATCAGACAGAAGAAAAGAAAGACGGACAGACAGGCAAAACCAGATTCAAAGAAAGACAGGCAAACAGACAGACGGACAAACAGACACACAGACAAACAGACACACAGACACAGACACAGACACAGACACACACAGACACAGACACAGACACACACAGACACAGACACAGACACACACAGACACAGACACAGACACACACAGACACAGACACAGACACAGACACACACAGACACAGACACAGACACACAAACAGACAGACAGACAGACAGACAGACAGACAGACAGACAGACAGACGGACAGAAGGAAAGACAGACAGACAGACAGACAGACGGACAGAAGGAAAGACCGACAGACAGACAGAAAGAAGGAAAGACAGACAGACAGACAGAGAAAACCAGACAGAGAGGAAACAACACATAAAAGAACGAACAGGCATGCAGGCAAACAGATATGAGAAAGAAAGACAAACCGACAGACACAGACACACAGTCACACAAACACACAGACAGAGACAGACAGATAGACACACACACACACAGACACAGACACACAGATAGACAGATAGACAGATAGACAGATAGACAGATAGACAGATAGACATACAGAGAAAACCAGACAGACAGGAAAACACACACAAAAGAACAATCGGACAGACAGGCAAACAGATATAAGAAAGAAAGAAAGAAAGACAGGCAGAACCAGACCAAAAGAAAGGCAGGCAGACAGGCAGGCAGATGGCCAAACCAGACAGAGGAACAAACAGACAGACAGGAATCAGATGGCGAGGCAGACAAACAGACAAGTCAACAAACAGAGAAACAAACAAAGTGTCAGGATGTACATTGAACCATGCCACAGGGCTGGAGGCTGCTCAGAATACTCCGATCTGACCGCAATTACGGCCGCGCCTGGATGAATCTGACCGCAATCAAATCCCAAGCCGAGTCGAAAACTCCCAACATTAGTATTCCCTGAGTTAGGAAGGCGGAAAAGGAAAGGGATATTTAACTATTAAGCATAGACTCTGAGGCGAAGGGAGGACGATTCACAAGCACACTGTTGCTCAGACAAGAGTAAACTGATTGCAATCAATCAAACAACAAAACCGTTACGAAGAAGTGAATGAACGAATCAATCAATCAACCAATGGGGTGACAGGCACTGACAGCTGCACTGGATTGCTTTTGTTATACTAGAAAGCATCACATTCCAAAATCTCTCTTTTTGTTGGGACTCAGCATTCCGAATCATTGGCAGCCTTTTGAGACGCACATGTTTAAATTGATACGCCAAATTGAATATGGTCTCTCGACTATTTGGAAGCGCCGGTGCCAAATTACTATCGAAGGGCGGCCAATGCACAGACAGGAAGCAAGGGAGATATTTCTCACAGAAAGTTGAAACGGATCTCTGGGCGCAGTGGAAAGCCATAAGGAAGCAAATATGCCTCTAACCGGGGCAGGAGGAGGAGATAACGAAACGCTTTAATCACAACATTCTGGGGCAAGGAGCAGTAGCAATTATAAAAGGTAGTAATTTAGGGTTCTAATCAGTGCTAAATACCCGGTCCTACCGGGGGGTCCACCCCCAACCGGAACCGGGCCGGTGGGACCGGCCCGGTTGGCCCCCGGTAGGCTATAGTGCATTCCCAAAAAAAGGCCGGTTCAAATTTTTAATGGGCCAGGAGGCCTCCCCACGGGTTGTGGGGGCCTCCTGGCCCATAAAAAATTCGAACCGGACTTCTTTTGGGAGGCCACAAACATTGCAAACGGCGGCCTCTCTGGACTGCTGTATCAAGGAAGATCGGTGGCCCAGATGAGGCCGCCGTTTTTGAATCTTGGAGCGAGCCTCCTCCGATTTCCCGCCCGTCGTCGGCCTCCCACCGGTCACCCGCCCGTCGTCGGCCTCCCGCCCGTCACCTTCCTCCTGCCCGTCGCCGTCCTCCCACCAGTCGCCGTCCATGGTCGTGGCCGTGGCGCAGCGCCCGTCGTCCAAGTAAGTGGCGCGTCCTCTTCTTCTTCTTCTTCTTTTCTTCTTCGTCTTCTTTTCGTCCTCTTCTTCTTCTTCTTCTTTTTCATCATCATCATCTTGCTAAAAATTAGTACTTCCTACGAGAGAGAGTGAGAGAGAGATCATTTTTTTCTTCTTCTTCTTCTTCTTCTTCTTCTTTTCTTCTTCTTCTTTTCTTCTTCTTCTTCTTCTTCTTCTTCTTCCTCTTACTAAAGCTCCCTCGTCTCGAGAATCCGCGCGCAAGCAAGCAAGCAAGAGAGAGAGAGAGAGAGAGAGAGAGAGAGAGAGAGAG